GATTCCGTGGAAATTTTCAGATGTCTTGGGAGAGGACAAGTTTGTGGTGATGCTTGGGGCACTGCACACAGAGAAATTGCTGTTTGAAGGGCCTAGGGGAGTGGCTGGAAGGGAGTGGATGGACATCACCTCTGTCAGTCAGTGGTGTGACTTCAAGTGGAGCTGTTGATTCTATGATGTAGGTGACACATCTGACCCGCACTCGCTACATGCACCGAGTCACAGCTCTTGTTTGTATAGTTTACTGAGACAAGCCAATCGTGAATACCTGACAACTATTGAAGATGAGCCATTGGAACTAGATGCTTGGATTAGGTATCAGCGAGACCGAGAACCGCAATTCTTGTACTGGCACCAGACTCTTGAGCTGCAGCTGATGGTCCTGCGGTTTGTGAAGTTGATTCGGACTGCATCGTTTGATCTGTACTTAGTGACTTTAGAACATTTCATGCCATGGGTGTATGCCCTTGATCACATACACTATGTCCGCAATCTACCCATTCATCTACGAGATAGGTGTGGCCTTCGAGAAACGCATCCAACTGTTCATAAAGAGTTCATGAAGGGAAAATTCGTTGGACAGAAGACAAGCATTTTCTAGCATTGCCTTGGACCAAATTCATGAGCAGCTCATCGGTTCTCTGAAGGGTGATGGAGGAATAATTGGACTGACTGAGGATCCTGTACCCCTTGAAAGATTTATGATTACTGGACCAGAACTTGTTCGCATCATTGAGGAGTTCGAAAACACACCTCAAAACAGTCACAGGAAGCACCATGAACAGTATCCTAGATGTCAGTGCATTCTCTGATGTGGGAAATCCTTTCCTTGAAGTATCTGGGCAATTGATTTCTCTTGACAGGTCCAGAATCATGACAGGTGATGTTATGAGCTCTGTGAGAAACATCACAAAAATTGGAAAAGACAAATATGATACATTCTTTTCAGAAAGGGTTTCATCCAGCGCATACCCATGGACCTCTACCTTTTATCTGAATAGATTTCCTCTTTTCGGTGTAAAAGCTCAACAACGTAAAGAAAAATCCGACCTTGCTTCCATGAAGGAAGAACGAACCCAGTTTATTCAAATGATGCTCTCTGGGCACTCAGGAAGGGACATTGGTGAAGAAATGTTTGCACATGAGAACACTACATTACCACCATCTCTCAGTTCCCAGGGTCAGATGCACAAAGGAACAAAATCTGAAAATCTCAAGTGCCTCGAAGGTGATATTGAGATTCTACTTCTGATACTCCCCCTAATTCTGATATTGTTATTCTAGATGGAGCCTTCATCGTGCAATCACTGATGGTACAGCATCAGCATTTCAGGATTATGCAGACCAGGTGTTTCTTCCATATTGTGATGTCATGGCTAAATGGTGTGTCGTGGGATGCCTACAAACGCAATAGTCTCAAATCCAGCACTCGGGAAACCAGAGGCAGTGACATGCGGTGTCGAGTGACATCATCAACCAAAGTAGCGAGTAACTGGCAAGGATTTTTACGGGTTGATGAGAACAAAACAGAACTGTTTTCTCTGTTGGCAGAGAAAATGCAAGAGATGTACACAGAGGGCAAGCAAGTTGTTACAACCTTCGGAGAGAATGTTCACCTGTTCGCTCAAGTACTCGCGCTTTAGCACCTTGTACTCACGAGGAAGCTGATTCAAGGATTTTTTCCATGTTGCAGATGCGACACATGAAGGATTTAAACACATCACCATTCGTGCTAGTGACAGTGTTGTGATGATAATGGCTGTGTTCTGTTTCCAAGATCTCAACCTTGATGAGCTCTTATAGCCTTTGGATCCGGCAAATCATACAGACATATCCCAGTTCACCAGATTGCTATGCAGTTGGGACCATCCAAGTCTCGAGCTCTTCTAGCATTTCATTCTCTGACCGGCTGTGACACCACCTCAGCATTTCAAGGAAAAGGCAAGAGAACAGCATGGGCTGTTTGGAAGGAATTCCCAGAACTCACTGCAGCACTTCAGCACCTGTCAATATTCCCTAGTAGAATCGATGATGATGTCATGTCCTATGTAGAGGCATTCATCGTTCGCCTTTACGACAGGTCCTTGGACATCACATCAGTCAATGCAGCACACATGGGATTGTTCTACTACAAAGGCAGGCATTTTGAGAATTTGCCACAAAGGATGCATTGCTACGACACACATTACACGCAGCATATCAGGCAGGCCGCATCTGGGGCCAACCCTCATCTGTTCTCCAACCTTGCCTGACCCACATGAATGGGGATGGGTCATGACAAATGACAAGTGGTTACCTCGATGGACAACACTTGTCCCTATTACAAAGAACCACAAATGCCTTGTGACATGTCAGTGCAAGAAAGTGTGCAAGCCTCCATGCAAATGTTGCAAAGCTGGTGTGAAATGCAGTACTCTCTGTGCATGCAGGGGAACTTGTTTCTCAATCAAGGAAAATAATGTAAATGTGTACATATCAGTGAACATAACGCATTGGTTATTGAAAGAATAGGCAAAATATGGGTGAACCTGGTCTGCTAAAGGGATTTTAAATTACAAAAACAAAACCACATGTGTAGTCCTAGCATCTTCCCAAAATTATGGTTGTGCGTCATTTTGTTAATTTTTCAAGGCGGCCATTTTTAATGTATGCAAATTAAGAATCAATTTGACCTTTTATGATAATTCTTTAGGTGTCATTGAGTTTGTCAGCCAGAACTTAATATGAAACAACACATTTATATTTCTATCATTCTTCTGTCAAAAGTTATATTCGGTTCGTATTTTCATTATACTTCAGTGGCGGCCATTTTTCATTTATGCAGGTTAAGAGTGAATTTGACCTTTTATTATAACTTTGATGGTGTCATTGAATTTGCCAGCCATATATTTATATGAAACAACACTAAAATTAATGTTCTACCATTTGTCTGTCAAAAGTTATATCCAGTTATCATTTTCATTATATTTTAAAGGCGGCCATTTTTAAAATTTGTCTGTCAAAAGTTATATCCAGTTATAATTTTCATTATATTTTAGTGGTGGCCATTTTTAATTTATGCAAATGAGGGCCTGAATATGCATGTGGACCTTGTGTCCATTTCTATTTTCCAATGATATGGTGTAAGGTACTTACATGCCAAGTGGTTCCTTCCTACTAAAATTTGCTTTGGGTAATGGGACTGCTGCCCACTATCCCTATCAGCGAGGTTTTTTTCAACTTTTTTTTCCTTGCTATCTATATTTCCAAGAAGTTTCATGTCAAAAGGAAGAAAATAAAGAAAGGAGTAGGGGGAAAACTGCAAAAAAATGACATTTTGAGAGAAACGACAATATTGACGTTGAATATGGAGTCGCTTGAAAATTCACTATATTTTAACCCACTCTCATGTTTTCAAAGGCAATTAATGACGAGAAAAAAGACTTTCTCAATAGTCTCCTTGCTATTTTAAAACAAAAAACTGATTGATCTGAAAAAAATCAGCCAACATCTCAATTTGCATATCTTGACCCAAAATTGGCCAAACTGAGGGTCGCTCCTCCTGCATAAGGAGAAGGTAAAATGTGTTGACATTGAAAATCTTCCCAAAATAAATAAGATGTTCATTATGACCAAATGCGTAAAACACGAAAGAAAACCTTTTGTTTGACTTAGTTTGAGGAAAGAGGAGCACATTGACAAAATAATATTAATAGTCATTTTGATTTAGTGTAAGGAAAAAGCAAGACTCATTGACAGTAATGGCAGGCGGAGAGTAGAGAGGTAGGATCTACTAGTGGCACCCTTGTTCAGCAAAACTTATCAAAACAAACATTCAGTCTGCATGTCTGAATTTTAAAAAAGTATTTATTGAGGTATTATCTTTATAATGTTCAGCATGAACAAAACAAAGGGGCAATGGTAACAATAAATCATATTGAAACATGACCACCAATAATGATAAGATATTGAAATATCTGTTCCTAAAACAATTTGCACAGCTGAAATACATTAACATTAAGTTAAAATGATAAAGAGAAGAAAAAGTCCAATATGATTATTAAAGTTTTAAAAAAAAAGTATTTATTTATAGTCGCATAGGTTAACATTGCTTTACAGTAACTCCAAAGGAGATCATGTTCAATAAATCTACAGCAACCCCCCCCCTCCTCCCTTCCCCACCACCGGTAGGCCTAACCTGTAAATTGTAAAGCACTCAAATTCAAAAAGCTATTTCAGAAGGGTAGTTAGAAGACGAGAAAACAAGTGTATATATGACAGAGTGACACTTTAAGACTAAAATAAGAAACATGTGCAGGTGAATGATACGATAAAATAAAATTTTGTATCTGTAAATTAAGATGATTATGTACCAGTAGGCCTACCATACAACAAAAATCTAAAAAGCAAATGTATGCAAACAAACTATTGCAAACAAACAAGTCATCATCCAGCTGTTCAGATATATATATATACGAAGTCCAAATTCCGACAATTTTAAAAATGGCAGTTTCTAAATCTATGGTATCGGTTCCATGTGCTCAAGAAAAATTCAGTTGAAATTTTATTTCTAAGTGTGTGGCACAGTGATGAAATCGGGCACTCGTCAAAATAATGAAACGGAATAAAAAATCAGACATTTCTCCGCCCGTTGAGCAAATTTTATCAATAAAAAACCCCCCAAAAAAACTCAACACTTTAAAAAAAAATTTCTACGTGGATTTTACAGAAAAACATTGATCAAAGGCACAAAATATGTCAATTTGCAAAGTACATTCAAGCTTTGGAAGTCACCAAGCTCTGGCAGCCATTTTCTCTCAAATTTTAGCTGTGACAAAGGGCAACCCCCACCTCCTTCAACCACAAATATCTCGACTTCTATTCAACACACAAAGATATTTTTTACCTCAAAAGCAAAGCAACTGAACAGGCTTTATGTTGATACCAATAACTCTATAGGCTCAAAAACTGACAAGAGCCTGATTCCACTGTGTTGTGGCACAAATGTTGAAGGAAAGCAAGAAAAGAAGCATACTGTCAATACAATTTTAAAAGAAAGGCAACATTTTTTTTTTCTCTCCTGAAAAGGTTTGCTTTCTTGGCTTACATTAGTTTCACAGCTTGCCAACGAAATGTATATATATACCTTCAAATTGGGGTGTACCCTTAGAAGGTCTGGCCTTTAAAAAACGTTCAATATGTCATTGCATCATAATCACAAGAACCGCCTGCACTAGTTTTAACAATGAATAATGCTCTGTAACAGTTGTACTGAGTTTGCAAGAGTTTTACGACATTTAAATTGTACCAAAGCTTACCAATCTGGGTAATGCCACCCACTAATGGACGATCTGGTTATTGGTGGATGATGGGGATCACCCATGCAGTGAAATGTGTTATCCAATACCCTGCTTGGAAATACATGAAAGTGGCCGGTGCAAAACTGTTAGTCTCTCAGAAGTGGCAAAAAAGGGTGCATGTTATGAAAAGATTGACAAACACTGATTTAGACATTTTAATTTGTTTTTACAGACTGAGTATGTCTTCTGGAAAGCCCAAATGGTTGAAAAGTAAATACGGGACAGATGCACAAATCATTATCTGGCGGAGCTGTGAGGAGAATTTCGTCCACCATCTGAATCTTCATCCTCTGATCCTCTGATTGTGATCTTCTGACCTTCCTGCTGCTCCTTGAGCTTTTGGCTTGACCTTTTGGAGTCCACGATACTCCATGTCGACCCTTCAACAGCATCCTATAGGGGAAAGAGTATAAAGTTAAGAAAAAAACACAAAAATCTTTGTTATGAAGTTGATTTTTATATTTTTTTTCCTTAGGCTGAAAATATACTGCCACGCACAATTGAAGTGTGCCGCGAAAAAAGTTGTGCCCTCCTCTGTATTTCCTATCGGTGATTACACTGACACGACTAGATGTGAGGACCCAAAAAGATGTGCGTGCGTGCAGCACTTTTTCAAGGCGTGCAGACAGGCCCGCCCTGCTGTCGGAGTATTCCGCAACGCCTTGAAGATAAAACAAAAGGGAGGACCGACCACTGAGCTGTTTTCGCCGGCTCAGCGCCATTTTTTTTACACAGTCGGACAGAGTCGCGCTGACCTATGTCAGCACCACTTCCGACCTAGCTGCTTATATGTTTCGCAGTATATTTTCAGCATTACTGTTGTCTCTTTTTCAAGGATTTTTTAAAGATTATAATGACATAGTCCAAGGTGACCACCTGTCTAAGATTAACACTTTTCTTCTCGACAATTGCATGACATACTTTGCTACTAATATTTTTCCAAAGTTTCAAAGATATCCAAGGTGAGTAAGTACGATGCCAGCTTCATTCCCAGGAACTTTTCATGCCAACAAGACATTGGAGAAGTCGCACAAGATAATAATGTCTGTTGCCACTACATGATAGTCAAGGTCAATTATTCTGGACCAATCCTTGCCCCTAGTGGGCCCAATGTCTATTGTTGTATTGATTTATTGCATGCACAAGTAATACAGAACAAACTTACATTTATTTGCACATTGGCGTTGCTGAGGATGTCTTTTCTGATTTTGTCTGATGCTTCCCACAAAGGTTTATACAGGGTCTTCATGAGTGCTTTAGCTTTGTCTCCGGGAATGCCAGCTTCCTCTGAAGACAAAAGAAATACATGAGAGGTTATATTCTATAGAGTCAGCCTTGTGGATGATTGTCTTGGGACTTGAAAAAGCGCAAGGCAATTTTACCAACTTCTGAGATGTCCATGGTATGACACAATACAAAAAATTACCCATTTTCATGATATACTCGGTACATCATAGGCAACCAAGTGGTTAACCCTTTCATTGCCTGGGGGTATGCATTCCTACTGTCAGCACTGATTTTCAGCTGAGTTTGCTACCCAGGACAGCAGCCTAATGTCTCAGTGTTAATGGACATGCAGTCCAGATCAAGCATATTACGGACATAGGGTCTTCAATTGTGTCACTTTTCTCACTTTTCCTATTCCCTATTTCCTCCCATTTTACTCACAATTTCAATTAATTTAACCTGAAAGAAATGTAAATGAAAAAGAGAATTTATTTACCTGTTTAAAGCAATTTCGATGTTTACGTTTTACGAGAGCACGCAGCTGCCTGCAAGCCTAGAAGATCTGTGTTTATCGATCGCAGGCAAGCCTAGCAGTAAAGTAATACTAGCATACTTGGTACCGATATGCGCGTCTTTTATTCCCGAATACGAATCTATGCAGAGCTTGAGGCTAAAACTCCGTACAGAAGAATGAGAGCCAGGTTAATAGCATATTGTACATGTAACATTATACAGGCAACCAGGAGAGGCAAAATTCTGTGATGCACATATTACGGCACAGCGCTAAAAATTACGCACTTTCTTGACACACCAGGAACATCATAATAGGTACCACAAACTGAAATTTCAAAGTCCTCTGATTTCATATTCAACCGCACTACCTTATAGAATTTACCATTCTGAGCATTTTGATACCAAATTTATACATGTAGCTTCATTTTTAACAAAGTTATGAACATCTGAAGTTGCAGAAAAATGTTACAGTTTTTAAATTGCGAAATGTCTACACTTTGAGATGTCACAACATTCTTAAATTTGAACGGACATTCACAAAAACTTGTAGACACACACCTATGCACATAGAGAACAAGCTCAATTTTTTTCAGGGCTATCAAATAACCAGAAGATGGAAATTTATTTACGTAAACATGGCTTTTTGACCAAAATGGCAAGAAATACAAGGGGAGGTTAAAATCCCCACTCGCGACCGCCGGCTTATCAGCTGCGCGCCGGGCCGCGCTGAAGGGAAAAAAGAGAGAATTTATATGAAACGAGGGCGATGGTGCCCTGCTTGCAAGCCGACGGGGAGCGTCCGGTGTTTATTTGCGTATAATGCATAGCTGCCACTCAGGAATTTCAAAAAAGGAGGAAATTCATGCGAACGCGGACGCGCGCTCTCCGAAGGCTGGAGTAAAACCAGTGAGATCCAGAGGCAATATATACTGGAAAATGTAGCCTATGGTTTTGGAAGGGAAAACTGTCATATTTGTTAACCATAGGCAACTGAATTAAAATGTATTTGAAAAAAAAAATAATAAAAAACCCCACCAAAGGCACTAAGTAGACTAACAAGCATTTGAGTCAATTTGACACAGTTTGGACTTGGTGACTAAAAATCCAGAGTTTGTTGCAAGCTGGTGTCTTATAAAAAGATTTCTTTCTGTTTAAACTTGTACATCGATGTAGAGCGCGCGCAGTATTGGATCAAAGAGGCAACACCTTTGCCGCTGTACTGAGCACTCCTGTACAATTGCGGTCCCGTTTGCACTTAACTTAGTAGATCTAGATCTAGTCCCTCTGTAGAGTGTAGATCTAACCTGAATTAAAATTACAGCCTATCTAGATCTAGAGATAGATTATCTAGATCTAGATCTAGATTCACTTCAACAGCCACAATAGCCGTCATGTAAACAAACGGGACCGCAATTGTACAGGAGTGCCGCGGGCCGCGATTTCTTTATCGCACCAAACGCAAAGTGCAGCAAGCGGAGCTCCTTATAATTATTTTTGCATTCTGCATCAACTTCTCTCGAATTTCCGCCGTTTTCAATGACAACTCGGCGCGCTAACGTCCCGATGCCAGATCGACACTGTGTTGCTCCACAATAAACAAAGTGAAACTAACGCTAGGCCTAGAAGAACGGAAGTAGAAAGCTACGGGCGGACATGCGCAAGCTGCGTTTTCGTCTCTCTCCCGGTTCGGTGTTTTCCGCGTGTAAAAAGGTATCGCAATTTGCGACCGAGAGCGGTCCCGCGGAGGAAGGTGGAAAGTAGCGGGAAAAGCTAGATGAAGCGGAGTTTCCGCTATTTAGCGGAAAAGTGGCAGCTATGATAATGGCTGTGTAATTCTTGAAGAGGAATGAATGGGCTTTCTGCCGATATATTTCCGTAGTCAGTCCGATCACTGGTTCCATAAAAAAACAGCTCCGAAAGTTTTCACACGCAAATCTCTTCTACTAATTCTTTAAGGACAGTCTTTAGAAATATATCACTGGAAAGAGCGTCTTCTCATCTTGAAATATCGACGAATCAGATTGCAGTATTTAATACCATACGCTCCCCGTTCCTGTTCAACCGAGGTCACTCGAAAAATCAATACACGAAACGCGCGGCCGCGACAGTGAAAACCTCGATAGTGTTGTCTTTTATCCCGCAAGATTTTGCTTTCAAAAGAATCGTTGATTCAAATAAATAATACCACTAAAAAGAGGAAAAGCTCCTCTTTCTTCTGATATATCAAGTGTCTGTGTGTGTGCATGATCACTCGGTGTTTTAGGAGGGTAAAAATATGGGTTTTGGTCTCCGTGACAGTGCGCCACGGGGTCGCACGGCCAGTTTGCGGTATCTAATCATAAGCAACCAAGTGGTTAACTACTGCACCGACTTGCAAACCAGACGGAAACTGCTCGCAGACTTTAATTTGCTAGTGCCTACATTAGAATTTAAGACTCACCTGCTTTTTCAATCATAAATTTTTTATCCTTGGCAAAGTCACGAATATTCGACCTGGAGTTGACGACAGTTTCAACAGCCTTGTAAAACTGAAGATGTGTCTCTGTTTCTTCCTCAGCCTGAAATGCAAGTGAAGTGAGTAACATCAAAGCCTAGTCAGAGAAGCACATGGAGACACAACCAGACAAACATAGCCATTGGATGAAACAGTGTGACACACATAGCCACTGAATGAAACAATAGGACACATATCGGAGTTGAATGAAGTTATATGACACACATGGGCATCGAATGAAACTACATCGTCGGTCGCCTGATGAAATCGTGAATTCCACACGAAGCAAATTTTACAGGAGAGGGAAAAAACTGTTTTTCTCTGTCATTTGGCGTCCAAGATATGAACTAAATGGATAAATCTAAGGAATTACCTTTTAGAAATTATACTGTTGTACATTTTTTACCGTAGATGGTCATTTTTTCGAAAAAGTGTGGGATTCACAATTTTCGTATTCGAATCTCGCCTGATGCGGTCGTGAATTCCACACAGGTGTGGAATTCACGATTTCATCAGTAGGCTTTTGGGAACGCGGTGTTGTATTCACGGTTATTAGGCAGTGTGTTTTCTCTTGTTAGAGGTCCTGGTAAGTTAAAAAAATGTTTGAAAGCATGAAATACTGTTATAAGAAAGATTTTAAAAGACCAATTTAAAACTGAGAATGAAATTACAGACTGAGTGAGACAGAAAGCTATTCATTATTTTACCACTATAAACATCTTTCACTCCTACATGAATGAGATATTGTATGAAATTATGAAATTATACTCCTTCATTTATTTGCTTTCTCTCTTTCTATCCTTCTTTTTCCAATTGTATGTAAGTGTATTTAATTTGGGGAGGGGGTGGTGGATGGGTTGAGAACTTGATTTATGTCAACATTCTATACCCCCTGTATGACTGAATGATCATCTTTCATTATCTTACCTTTTTTGTCTCTCAGATCCTGAAAATTAATTTTTGCCGTTTATAAGTAGAATGATACAATGGTGGGGAACTGTTCGTTAAGTTTTTATTGTCTCTGGACTTTAGAAGACTCTCCCACTCTTCGTTAGAGTTCAGTCTGCAAAGAATTTCTCCTTATGTACATCAGAGGCTTTATACTGCATTAACAGTTTGGTCTTCTTTTTGTCTACCCGACCTGACAGTTTCAGTTTTGTGAACTGCAATTTTGGCAAAATCTTGGAGGAAAATATTTGTGATATACACATTTCACTTTATAGGGTCTTCGTTGATATAATTATAAAAATTGCAGTTCTGAAAATGTCTTTTATTTAAAGCCGCCGCTCAATGACGCCATGCATACTTTCTACTTGCATATGAGAGTGGCCTCTAATAAGATTTTGTATTTAATTTCGGCGTTTGGTTTAGTGGAAAAGGCACCCACGGCATTAGAAAGAGATGCAATTTTGTGCTGATACACACACACTCACACGCCCACA